AAAAATACACCGAAACGTATTTTGATTAATAAATAGAGACAATAAATGACTGAAACCCAGGAATGAATTTGATTTGGAATTGAAACACAGTCAGGAAAGTATATACAATTGGCCTCAATACCGCCAAATTTCGATCAGAACCTACCGGTGATTGGCTTTGCTCCGTTTGATTTCCCCCTTCACGGCGTCAATCATCGGCGGGCTTTTGACGAGAAACGCCTCATCTTTCACCTCACAGTGCACCATTTGATCCTGGTCGGAGATCTGCCTCAAGTAGCGGTCCTGCTGCAGCACCAGCGCCACCCCATATGTCATCCGAGCTAGGCCACCCTCGTCCACAGATGTCTTCAGGCGCACTCCGCAACCTGCAGCCGGCAGACTGAGGAACAGCTCGTTAATGCCCGTGCCTTTGGTGAAGAAGAGCCGCTGGTAAAAATTGCTCAGAGGATGAGGAAGATGTGGATCTTACCAAGCACCAGGCACTCATGAGCGAAGTCTCTGGCAAAGGCCACGCCTTTGAATGGTCGAGTCGTGGCTACCGTGATGTTGAACGTTTGGGAATCACAGGACGTGTTGAAAGAGGCGATTTTGTTGGCTTTCCCTTGGAGGAGGACCGGATGCGGCAAGCGTGACGCAAACACTGCGGGGGAGATCAGCAGCACGAAAAGCAGCTGGATGGCGGACATTTTGACCACATTTGAGTCTGCAAGGTGGTCGGTTATGCGTTAATTTTTCGGGAGATAATGCATGTGTTTTAAATAAGGGTCTCGCTCAGCGTCCGTCTTCAAGAGCGCCAAGCACCAACGGCGGATCCAGGGGGGGGGGTCATGGGGGTCATGACCCCCCCATTCAATTCTCTATCCAACGATGCCAAAACGAATTCGGTGGCTCGAATGGTTCTTGAGAAACTTCGAAAAAAGCAGCGTCATGTTCAAGTGGATTAGCAACTCAAAGAAAACCACGCAAATCTAAAACTTCTTGAATTCAAACACTTTTTGAGAAAACTGCCAACATTTCCCCTTCCCTGGTTCACTTTCTGATAAGGAAATTTATTTCTCTCTAGAATGATGTACAAATGAGCGTTCTTGCTCATTTTCCCTCCGAGAAATGAGCAAAAACGGCACGGAAAACATGAAATTTTGGCATAATCTTGCTCCTAAGTGTCTGATATTCAAATTTCGCTTTCTGGGTCAAAACTACTCGAATTTCCTCATTAACGTTGTTACGACCGATAGCCCTTTGGCAGCACTCGAATATTCTGGTTCAATTGCGGAACACTCACTATGCCAAATTCGCCGAGCGTTGCCACTATGGCTTCTTTTTCCGCTCACAAGACGAATTTTCAAAACCAAAATCGTGTGTTGTACTCGTGAAAAATTTGCCAGTTACAAACATTTTCTCTGAGGTTCCTGATGATGACGGTTGACAGAAACTCTCAGGATGATATGAAAGGGACTGTCCTCTTTGCAATTAAATCACGCGGTAGCTTTTACTTCGATCAGTGCTCGAGATACAAATTTTTAAACAGAGATTGGCAATTGTGATGGGTTCGAAAAATTGACTAATTTTGAAAATTTCTTTTGAATTTCCTGATGATGGTGGCGAGCTGAAACTTTCAACATTGATGAACGGTACCTTGTGCCTTCCAAGGAAATTTACCGAAAGCTGCCCGCTTAAATATCGCCTGAGATGCGAATTTTCGAACAATTATCAAAAATTGAAAAAAAATTGACCATGGAGGAGAATTGAGATCTTCAGTATTTATGGAGCAGAGCATTTCTGACCCATTTGTGGCTTCCGATACATTTTTTAGACTCTAACTAAACAACACGTTTGAGATGCCTGATGATGGTAGCAAAATAACCCTGAATCGAGTTCGGGCCGAAACTTTGCGCGTTCGAATGAGGTTCTCCAGAGGTTTCTCAACCGTTTCTTGTGATATGAATCTGAACATAGATCGACACTTACTCCTGAAAAAATAACCAATTTCCACAAATTTCCTGTTTTACCCCCGATGATGGTAGCAAACCGAAACTTTGGCGATGCAGCAAACAAACTTTGCCCTTTCGAATGGAATTCTAGCTTAATTTTCGCTTAAGTTGAGAATTTTCGAACAAATCGACATTTTTATTGGTGAAAAGTTAACCAATTTGCCAAGGGCGGATCCAGGGACGAATTCTCTGGCTCGAATGGTTCTTGAGAAACTTCGAAAAAAGCAGCGTCATGTTCAAGTGGATTTTGCTACTCAAAGAAAACCACGCAAATCTAAAACTTCTTGAATTCAAGCATTTTTTGAGAAAACTGCCAACATTTCCCCATCCATGGTTCACTTTCTAAAAAGG